TATTACCAGGGACGGGGCATCTGCCGCCTCTCTGGGCAACCTGTGCCAGTGTTTCACCACCCTCAGTGTAAAAAATTTCTTCCTTATATCTAGTCTGAATCTACCCTCTTGTAGTTTAAAAACGTTGCCCCTTGTCCTGTCAGGTAGTGTATGAAAAAGTCATTATAGTGATACAGACTAATATTAATGTTGATGTGTTCTTTCAGTAATAAATAAAATATTCTATCTCTGTAAACGCAAGTGACAGAAGCAAATAAGTGTAATTGGTCTAACAGCTGAAGAAAGGTGGCAGACAGCTTTCCTCTCTGTTTTAATTCTCTAGTGAGCATTTTGAGTTTGTTGAAAGATAGTCTTATTTCATAGTCAAGGCAAATTAGAGATGATGTTTAAATATAAAACAATTTAATTTACTGGAAGGGTATTTGGGTACTTTTCTTAAAGTGGTTAGTAATTGTCTTCCATAGAAACAAATGGTCACAAGTGGAGCCTTATGGTCTTTTATCATGGGAAATTCTTGGGAGAAACGTACTTTCATGCTTTACATTAACTAGAGCATTTGGGATGAGTCATGGACACAAATACATTGAAGGTAAACTTATTGTTAAATATTTAAAATATTAGGACAATTCTGTGTAACAGTATGTATTTTCAGGGTCTAAATTCTTGCTCCTACTGTATTGAATGAATTAATTATATAACACAGCGTGTACTTAACAATAAATGTTTTTTTTTTGTCTAAACTACCTCAGAAAGAGAATGCACTCAAAACTGAGCTAGCAAATCTATCTTTTAAATCAAAAATAATAAAGCAAATGTAACTTTTTTTTCCCCTCCTTAGGCTGCAGTTTGGAAAGAGCTACTCTTAGCCACTATTGGAGAGCAGTTTACAGACTGTTGTGCAGCAGGTAACTTTACAAAATTATTGAGGCTAGTGTGATAAACACTGAGTTTGAATGCAGAACATGGCCACACTGCTAAAAACGGGTACAGGGCTGGAAATCGCATTCATACCTGTTGTGATTAAGAAGACAACAAGGCATTCTGACAGTCTTAGCACAAGTCTCCAGCTCAGCAGCCTGCATCCCTGGGAAGCCAGCAGGTTTTCTAGTTATTGAATGTCTATCTGTTAGCCAGCATTTAAATGATTAATATTGATTCTACAGTGCTAGGATTCTGGAATCCCAAATTACTCTTCTGTACTAGATTGTTTCCCTCCCCTGCTGCTGCCTTGACAAAATGTAAAGGAAAAAGAAAGTAAAGTCTGGAAAAGCTGGTGTCTGATCTCTACCAGGTACTGTTCCTGGGGTTTTAGTTGTTTCACCCTCACCCCCCATTTTTGCTTATAGCCATTACTGTAGGTAAATTGCCTTTAGTAGTTTATATTGCTAACCTTACTGAAGGGAGTCTTGTGATTCCCTTCTAATCAAGGGTAAGAGTGCTAATAGCAAAGATGAATAATCCTATGGCACTTTATTAAAACCACTATGAGGTAATATTTCCAATAGCTTCTATAAATACAGTGTTTGTTTCTTTCTGGTAACTATTTTGTCTGGTTTGCGCATTGGTATTTCGCTCACTGGAGATTGCTTTCTTTAATTTCTTCAGTTTGTTCAGCTTTTGGGCACTGTTTCATAATACATAAGTATCAAATGAGACATGTCTCACTTTTAAAGTATTCCTTAATGATGCTTCCTCTTCTGTGCAGATGATGAAGTAATAGGGGTTAGCATCAGCGTCCGGGACCGTGAAGATGTTGTGCAAGTGTGGAATGTGAACGCCTCTTTAGCAAGCGAAGCAAAAGTTTTAGAAAAGATACATAAACTTCTGCCACGCACGTCTTTTAAAGCGGTCTTTTATAAATGTAAGTATTTTGTACTGTTAATGTCCACCTTCATTAGAGAAACAAGATGCTGGTAGGGTATTTCCATGGGAATAGCCTGTCTGATCCATCGTTAACCATTTGGAAATGTAGCATCTCTCATTGCATTAAAGTTATTGCTTGAAAAATGTCCATGGGTTTATCCCTTCATCGTAAAAGTTAGCTACCGTTCAAAGTATAAGATATTTTTAGTTTAATTGTAGAATATATTTGGTTTCATGTTTTAATATGCATGATTTATGAAATGAGTGAGACAAATCTCTTGATAACTGTCAAGACTACATGCTCTTCAATTTAAGTATTCATTTAGAGGAACTATCTTCAATCGGGATTTTAAGGGATCTCTTATTTTAGGCTCTATATAAATGTATTATCAGAAAAGTATATTCCCAAAGATCACTTGTTGGCATGTTATGTCTTCCTTGACTGCTTTATACATTGTTGTCTTCCCTTTTTTAATCTTTTCCTTAACAGAGTTTACATGTTCTTTCTTCCTTAGCACACAGAGAGCATCATGCTTTTGAAGGCCGACGGGGAAAACATTAAGAGTAGTCTGTGCCAAGCTCATTTGTTGTTATTTGGTGTTTTGAGGTGGTCTGGACAAAGAGAAGGATGGTTGGAAGCCCTGCAGAAGCACTATGCACAGTGGCCATTTTGAGTTTCTACCATTTCAAACCAGGAAAATGCAGAAAACCAGGTGCCTTGACCGCTAAATGCACAATTCATTACTGCTGGTTTGGTTGGGTTTTTTGAAAATTTTTTAATTGTTTCTTTAAAAAATGTTTTGGCCACTTGTTTTTTTTAATCATATTGTATTTGTTCCTATTTCATTAAGATAGAAGGCTTTAATTTCTTCTGTACTGCACTTAGTTAAATGCAAACGTGCACAGAGATGGGATGCTGCTTTTTCTAGATGTGCTGTATGTAGAGGAATACCGGCTTGGTGAAATGTGGTTTTGATTTTCACTGTAAAACATTCCTATCCTGTTAAGAATTACTCACTGGTTTTGTCCCAAGAAAGAAATTGCACTGCATTTATTCTAATATTCAGTGTAATCTGGTCTTGCACTGACAATGGCACACATGCGGTAAAAGTAAATAGTAAAGTGTTCACTAAATGAGTGACTAAAGAGAACGCATTTATATTGGGACTGACCCTCTGTGGGATGCTAAATGAGTGACTAAAGAGAACACATTTATATTGGGACTGACCCTCTGTGGGATGATGTTAACGAGTGTTTTAGTGGTAGTGATTTCACAAGAGCCCCTGTTCAGACCAGAATGAGAGATCTTTCCATAGGAAACCCTGCAAACTCTACAACTCTCTTAAGTAAGAGGGGATAAGGGTTTTTTAAATGTTTTTATATTGTATGATTTCTTATGATACTCCTCTGTACATTCATGTAAAAGTGTTGCGAATAATTTCTAATGCCTTGGACTAACTGGATCTATCCGTCCCATTTCTGTGAGTACTTCAGGCCTGTGCTGGCACCCACAAAGGTCAGTATCAGAACCGCTGTTGACTCCAGTGCAAAGAAAGAGATCCCAGCCTGTGTAGTTTCAAGCTATCATGACTTCCTAAGTGACCTTTTTAAAACAAAAAACAAAAACAAAAAACCAACAAAAAAACCCCCAAAAAAACCAAACAGAAAATAAATGGATTTGGTGATATAGCATGAATAAGAATACAGAATGTGTTAATCTTTAATTATTTGTTTATATTAGTTATTTGAGGTGTTGGTTTGTTTTAATATACTACCAAAGATTGCTGTAGTTCCTTCTTCAAGAAGAAGCTGCAAGGCAGAGGTGAACGTACACTGCACTGAGCATTACTTCATTGGTAAGAGGTTTTTGTTTGGCAACTGTTCAAGTTGCACCAATTTCCACACCTTTGGTTTTAATGACTGCCTCTTAGAACACAAAATAAATTTAAAAATAAGAATTGCACATCTGTGATTTTTTTTTTACATCTTCATCTGTATTTATGAATTAAAACTGTACAGTTAATGAGCATTATTAATTAAACAAATTTTCTAAAATCCAAATGTCTTGCTCATGTAGTTGGTTTGAGATTAAATGTTACCAGACTTGTTTTTTTTAAACCTCCGTATTTTTCAGTAAAACTTATTCTCTTGGAAGGTGTTTTGTTCATAGATTAAAAACAATGTTAATCAATTTTTTGTGTTATTAAGTCAGAAAGGAGACCTGAAGTTTATTAGTATTATCTCTTGTATGTGTTCAGTTAATATGTGAAGTATTTTCAAGTTGCAGTTAGATGGAGGTTTCAAAATAAAAAGCATAGAGACTATTACCAGTGTAATTATATGACGTTTTTCAATTCACAGTCCGGTGTCAGCACATTAAATACCCCAACTAGCCCAGCTTAGATTAATTTTTACCACTGTGACTTTCCAAAATACATCTAATGCTGCAAGGATTTCTTTTTGTAATACTGCTCCCTTTGGATTACCTCTAAATTGTCTGAGATCTGGTTTTGGTTTTTTTTTTTTAAAAAAAAAGGAAATAATCATCTATTTAACCACAAACAGTGTTGAAACTCAGTGTAGTTTCTCTTGTAGGTACATCATCACCCATCGACTCCAATGAGGAGGTGCCCAACCTCCATGAGAAATAAGGACATGTGGGAAGGTGAAATGAACTCACTGCTGTGACCTTCATTTTTATCTGCCATGAGGGGGGTTCCCTTTTTCCAGTGGACAGGCAGAGGGAGGCCCCAGGACACCAGCTGGTGCTTGCAGGTGTGATGGGTATGAACAGCCCCCAGGCCTGTGTGATGGAGTCAAAGGGACTTCGGAGAAGTGAGAGGTAGAAAACTTTGAGGAAAATGTTTTCAGCAGCTTGTTGAGCAGGATTTCTCACTTGAAATACTTTCCTGTCTTGCGAGGAAATGTGACTGGAATGCTAATGGAGAATTAATCATATATCTCACGCTCAGCTTACTTTTACTCTTGGAAACAAGCCAGAGCCTCTTGCCTCTCCTCCAGGTTCGTTTTGAGCATGGATGTTGACTTCAGCAGAGCTGGATCTGCTGGCAGCAGTGGCTGTTGGGGTGATGTCATAGGAACTTGCTAATTTAAGATATTACTTTATTCAGCCTATTGAAGGAAATTATCTTTATGTAGTTGGCTTGCATGGCACTTTCATATAGAAGACCTTTCTGCTTGAACATTGGATAGAGGTTGAGAGAGACTTTATCTTACCCACAGGACAGGAAAGCTGCACATTGACCACCCGAGTCCACATTATGAACTGTTGTCAATTTTTCATTGTTCTAAATCTCTAGTCTATAAAATTAGAGGTTTTTCTGTTTGGCTTAACTCTGATTAAAATTGTTATTATTAATTAGAATCTGGGTTCATGGATATGTTCTGAGTAAAACTCAGCATATTGTATGCCATAATCCAAAATTGGGCTTGAATCAAAATGGGTAATGTGAGTTTACAGGAACATGACAAATTGCATATTGGAATCCTGCAACCATTAATTTAAAGACTTTGTGGAAGTTTTGAACCATCCTTTCATCCCGAGGGATCTCCATAGAACAGATGTATTTATACCAAGTGATGTTGAACAGTTAATTTTTTTTTTTAGTCTTTTAAATATTTATTATTTTCACCTGGAGATCTGCTTTATTTAACTCGATTAAATTACCCCCACACACACACTTCAAAATCATCTGGGCTGTTTAAGTGGATATTGAAGAAGAGCAAACAACTTCCTATTAAAATGAATTTCTGCTGGCATTTCAACATCAAATTAAAACATTTAACTTCCATAGTGATGGACAGCAAGGAAACTCCAGATTGCTGCATTGCTGAACTACAGAAACCTGCTTCCCTCTTGGGGTGGTAACGAGCCCTGGCTGGCATCTGCCCCTTGGGCTTTATCTGTTGTCTGCTGGTGTGGCAGGTCACACTGAAGCCTTTAGTGTATCTGGAGCACTTGTCTCTTTTACCCAGGCTGTTTTTATGAATTTTGTAGGAACTTGATATCCTTGATCCATCTCTCCTGCTACCCAGGTCTGCTGGGTATGGAGCTACTGTCGGATGGGGATTGTCCTCTCTCCTGGGAAGCCAGGTGAGGTGAGAAGTAGGGGGAGAGCTCTGCATTGCTCTAGAAATGTTCATAGCGCCTTGTGAAAGGTGCTGACAGCATCTGCCTGGGGAGAGCTTTGATGGTGCATGGTGTTAAGTGGAGGGTGGTGGTGAGTGGGCTGAAGGAGAGCTGCTGGCTTCTGTCCTGATTTCAGCTTAGAGTTCATTTTTTAACCAGTGGCTAGTGTGAGGCTGTTTGGATTTGTGCTGAGGAGGAGCTGATCACACACTGATGGTTAGAGCTGCTGCCAGGACAGTCAAGGACTTTCCAGCTTCTCTGCTGTGCCCGTGTCTGCAGGGGCAGGAGAAGCTGGGAGGGAGCACAGCCCCAGTGACCAGCCCAGGATTTGACCTTAGGTTTAGGATGGAGACCCAAACTGGCCAGTGGTCTATTCCATGTCATGCCCAGTGTATAGGTGAGGCTCTGTCTGGAAGTGCTGTCTCTTGCTCGGGGCTGTCTCCCTCTGTCTCACTCCTCTCTTAGGGTTGTCTTGGTCTTTCAGACACTTGGGCTCTTATCTCTCTTCTGGGATTGCGGTTTTGGGACTCTCCCCACTCTGGGATCGTTAGTGGGAACGGACTGAGCCTTGGACATTGGGTGCTGAGCAGTATCACTGTGTATCACTTATTTGTGTATTTGTCTATATTACTACTATTATTATTTTCAATATTCTGTAGTTTAGTTATTAAATTGTTCTTATCTCAACCCACGAGTCTCTTTTTCCCGTCACCCCTTTAATTCTCTCCCCCACACCAGCCTTGTACACAGGCACCAGCCCAGGCTGTGCAGAGGGAGGGAGGGAGCACAGGGATGCAGTGGGACCACCAGATGCTGGCCAGGCTGTGGCTGAAGCTGGCGGGGCAAATGGAGTCAGGAGGGACAGCTGAGAAAAGGTAAGAGGAATGAACAGCTTTTTACTTCTGAGTATTACCCTTCTTGTGCTGGTCTGCACCTTCCCAGGCTGCTGGCAGCAGGCGGGGGCTGAGCTCTGATCGTTCCCCACAAATTCTAGTAAGTCTCTGTGGCTCCCCGGGATGCGACACAACAGCTGCTGGAGGGATTAGTTGGGAATTTCACTTAACAGGGATGAAGGGTTGTCTTCTGGGGCTGGCTAATTAACAGGATTCTACTCTGGTAATTAAATAGCAGTTTGTTGAACACAACTTAGTTGATGAAATCTTTGGAAAACATAACAATTAGCAGCAAGAAATGGCAGTTTTGCCTCAAAAGCCTATCCCCAACCAGTTGCTGATATGCTTTTGGTTTTGGGGCTGTCACTGGACAGTGTGTTCTCTCCCTGCTACTGCAGCACCTGGTTCCTCTTTAGGGCTTCATCTCAGCTGTGGGGGCTTGGGGTGTCCCGCTTCACTCCTTGCTTTTTCAGAAGGCTCTGTGGCACTGCCTTCTTAAAAGCCAATGCTGGAGGACAG